GAGAGAGAGAGAGAGAGAGAGAGAGAGAGAGAGAGAGAGAGAGAGCGAGTGCTCATTGATGATTAAATAAAAGATAGCTGAATTTTTTAAAATATGGGCTCCTAATTGATTAGGTCTGGGTTTGGTAAAGCGATTAGTAAATGCCACATAATTTCAATAAACTTCACTGATATACTAAAACAGAAGGTATTCTTAATATTACGTTTTCCCCAACGCATACAAAGGAAATATTATCTCAGAGTTTGGACATTAAAGCTCCGTCTCTTCCTCTTTCCACCATTCCCTCACCCCCACTTCTCTCCCCTCTCTTTCATTATAGCTGCCTCTCACAGTCTCCCTCTCCCTCTCACTTTCTCTTTTTCTCTTACCCCTCCTCTCTGTCTTTGTTGCCCCGGTGTTCATAATTTGTGTCTGTTATTTCTCAAATAACTATCGGACGTATGCAGGTACACCCACACGGCCTGAATGTTCTTCACATTTTAGTCAGTAATATCTCCAAACATTTCAAAGGTAGCAAATGACTATCAATTCTCCTTCAAAACTGAAGTAAGCTGAGGACCGGTAAAGTCATACTTCCAAAGTCGAGGAATCAAAATGAAAGAATTCGACAGAGCTACACTCAGCAGGAAGACCGTGTTTGCGCTGCCGTGGTCTAAAGATCAGGTTCAGCGCTGTCTGTTGCACGCAGGAGACGTGAGCTCGATTCTTATGTGGGGAAGCTTTATATCATCGTGTATGTCTTTGGGGACTTACCACTCCTTGAGCCCAGGTTGGCCCTGAGAGTGAGGGTCGAAGCTGTCCTTTTTTGGTAAGTGTTTTGCGGCGCTTGCAACGGCTTTCGGTCATATGAGAGCCGAGAGCGGGGGACACATTATACATTTTCTGTTGATAGGAAATTTAGAATTTTGCCCGGGTGTCAGCCGAAACCTACTCTGATCGATTTTGGACCACCAAGGGATCTTTAACGTGCACAGCTGGCACAAGGGATTTCCGAGAATTTTCGCTCTTGTCCGAGAAAGATAGGTGAAGATCTTTCCTACCATAAGATCAGGGGTATGGCTAAAAGACAGCAGTGAAAAGGAGCGAAGGAGTAGCAGCAGAAAGGCTGCAGAAAGGATCAGGAGCCCAGAAGAGGGGGGAAGGGAAGTGAGGAGGTGGTGGCAGAAAGATGAGACGAAAGCAGACGACAGAACATTGCAAGAGAGCAGGAAAGGAAGTGAAAGGAGACAAATTTAGAGAAACAAATATGTCCGTCGCCACCCGGATTCGAAACGAGGACCATTGAATGAGAGGCATACACCTTAACCTCTTGGCCAGGAGAGCCCACATCTGCCTTCTGGATGAGCTCAGTCATGTCGACATGGAGTTAATAAAACATAAACATTAATTGTTCGGGGTCGTGGTGAAATCAGGTGCTCGTCAAAATAATAGAATCGAAGAAACTGAAATTTGTTCGCCCCTTGATCAGTTTTTACCCATGTTTTTCGGGTTCAACATCCTGTTATGTCCATGTAAAGGGAAACGTAGTTTAAAGGCACACACATGTGTACTGCAGCTTTAGAACTCACCAAACTTTGACACTGACACTCATTTTTTCTCTTTACATCTGACACAGGCGATCCTTACCTTTAGTAAAAGCAAATTTCTCGACCTCTATTCAAGACAGATAAATAGGCCTTTTGGTTTTCATCAAAAGAAAGAAAAATGAACTGGTTTATGAACAGGTTATAAGATTATAGCCAACCAACAACTTCATATGCCCAAAAATTGACGACCTGCCGATTCCACGGCGTCGTGACGCATTTACTATTACAATTGCGATAGGAGAAAAAAAAAACAAGGGGGGGGTGGAGGGCATACAATATTTCCACCTTGATTTTTAAAAATATTTGCGTATGGTAGGTTACTGGCTTTGAAGGGGTGAAATGCTTAGCCTGTCATTCAACAGGGAAACTTAAAAAAGCTGTTTTCGGTTCGACAGTTGGGCTATGGTATAATGCTAATAATGCAACATTTAAATAGTGACACATGACGATTTTAAAACCATAATCAGTAGAGGAGCATTTGAAAAACCTTTCCAGTTTTGGGATTGGATACGAGTTTGCAGAAACAGAACCCACATTTGTCATAACAGGCCACGTAATTGTCCATTGTTTAACAGGCGGGGCTTGAGCTACGTGGCTGGCATCAGGGTTAAAACAACATGTCTGTAATTGGTTGGTTGCCTTCTGACCCTATATAGCACATAAGAGAAGAGCGGACTCCCGGCCTCCCGCCACTTTTAATTCTTGTTTCGTCACGGGGACATTAGGAGCCATACTTTTGAATATTATGTACTTTAGAGCTCAGTCGAAGTTCCAAAAGACTTGACCAGTGCAACTAGATCTATGTGCTTTCCCGAAGGAAGACTAATGGCCAGCAAAACGAATTTTAATGGTTGCAGGTAATGTTTCAACATTCGCAATCCATTATTATCATGAGTGAACTGTTTTTATAAAATTAGCGAGGCTTAAGGCAGACAGCCATTTGTCGTACATGAACTGGATTAAAAAATATGATAGAAGTAAAGCGATAATATGCATGCTGTGTGTCTTGAAGAGGGGAAGTTGTGCCGAGAAAGCAGAAAGGAAACGCATCGTAAAAAGTGTCTGTGTTGGCAAAGAAACTACGAATTGTTCAAAACAACCGGACCGTTTACCATGTATTCTAGGTTTTTCAGCAATTCTGAAAAGTAAACGGTATTTTGTCATATTGTCTATGAATGATTAACAATTGCGTAACAAGGACTGTTGTAGGAAGAGAACATTAACAGAAATCTGCTCATTTCCAGACACCTAAATAAAATTTGATGACTATTCGACAGTATAAATTTAAATCACAACGAAGTGTATAGATTCCGTACCAGGCCCTGACGAGTAGCTATCTTGGATTCTGAAAGAAGTTTTGTTAACAAACAAGCGTGTTTATTTTTGTCTCTTGTACCCGCAGCCATGACTATTGTAAAGCTTTCAAGACCACAGAAAAATCCGTTGTGTTGAATTTATTAAACATGATAACAGTGTGATTTAGGATCTGTTACTGAAAGCATAAGATAAAAGTGTATGCCATAATACCCATAAAAAGTTGGCATCTGCTTTGCACATTTATATCTTGTACTCTTTGTGGTTTATAAAAACAAATAAAATACACTGTTATGGCAAAACAAGAACGTGACATCCCCCCCCCCCTCCTCCAATTCTCTCATTTTTATGCGTTTTAAAAATGCAAATTGGCGAAACTAGAACTTACATGCACTTTCTTTTCCGAATTTAAAACCGATACTCAAGGTCAATAAGTTAGCAGCATTACCGATGTTTCTTCTCACTCAAAAAAAAAAAAAAAAAAAAAGATAACGAGACACTAAACCACGCTGAAATTGAGAGAACCGTTACTATTTTATGACGGATCAGATTGACACTGAAAATCGCGGCACTTGCTTTTCAAAACTTTGGCGAGCGCCAATTTTTTTCCCTTATCCGCTTAACAGTATCGTTTTAGCTCCCGGCTTCCGCTAAGTCTTACTTTCGCACACACCCTCGTCTACGTGTTCTTGAAAACCTGCTAAATTCTACGAAGATTTTGATGAGTTTTTCGGAATACATGTGTGCTTCTGTTTGTATATATGTGTATAGCAGACTAATGTTATCTTAAACTGACTAATGTTTCAAGGTAGCATGTTTTTGAACGGAAAAGGATATTTTTGTATCACAGAGCAGATCGGAGAAAGGGAAAAGAAGCCAACAGCAATCACGTCTCTGTTGCTCAGATGATAGAAGGACAGTCTCCCGTTTCTTCAGCTGCCCATGAGAACGCAAGGTAAGTGCATGTCTTTTCCTCGACTTTCCGCCACTCATCAGTCATGTTATTCTTTTATGTAGTGTTTACTTTTTTACATTCAAATAGGAATGACCATTTTATCTATAAGAACTGCATATTTCAACTAGTCTTTAATACCGCTACCACGACTAGAACAAGACTGCACCACACTACCACAATCACCATCATCACCACCATCACCACCATAACCATCACCACTACCACAATCACCACCACCACCACTACCACCACTACCACCACTACCACTACCATAACCATTACCACCAGCATAATCATTTCCTCCACCTCCACTATAATTAATTAATCCCTTCATGTTCTTGATGAAGCCTGTACTCGGCAAAACGTTATTTGTAATATAAACTTTCGAAAATACTCAAGTCTCCATATACTAGGCTTTTTGTTTTTCTTAGTATGTACTATACAACAACAACAGTGACGACGACGATGATGATGATGATGATGATGATGATGATGATGATGATGATGATGATGATGA